AGAATATTTCCATAACCTCCAATGCTCTTTCTTTCAGAATTATTTTTATTTCTCCATTATTTTAAATTTAATTTTCTTGCCTTTTCTTGTATAATTCTAACAGTAACTATATACACTTACCTTTTATTTAAAGCTGTGGAAGTATTTCAGATTGATTAAAACTTTGTAACTGTTGTTGCATGTGTGGGTGTGTTTTAATCATATTCCTTCTTTCTCTTTACAGAACAAAAATAAAACAAAGCAAAAAAATACTTTGAAAGCTGAAGTTGTTTTATTTCCTTATTTCAAAAACTGCAAAGAGCATGGTTAGGGAAGATTTTCTTAGTCTTTATTGACAATCCTGTACACTATAGGATAAGCATAGTAGTTGTAATGAATTCAGATTATTGATATGTGAGAAGAAAGTTGTGTTTGAAGAGTAAGTCTGAGATGTGTGACTGGCCTGCAAGTTAATATGGAAAGAGCCTCAGTTATGATTTCAGGTTGCAAATCCACATCTAGCATTTTTCTGAATTATGTGCCATGGATACTTCAAAAATTATCTTCAATAATTATAATCACCTCGGCTATTCCGGTTGTTGTGTGCCATTGAGCAATTCTGACTCTTAGCAACACTGTAGGACTGAGCAGAACTGCCCGATATATAGTTTCCTAGGCTGCAATCTTTATATACTTGTTGTCTTTATGTGCCTTTGAGTAGATTCTGAGTCAGAATCAAGTCAGTGGCACACAACAACAACAACAATCTTTATGAGAGCAGATTGCCACATCTTTGCCCCTAAGGAGCCACTGGTGGGTTTAAACTGGTGAGTTTAAGTTAGCAGCTGAGCTCTTAATCACTATTTCATAAGGGTTCTTCTTGTTACTCCTCCTACTATTATATTTTTATTGAGCATTTTCTCTGTACAAGGCATTGACTGTGCCAAACACTTCACTTTTTAATTTTTTGTAGTTTAATTTTTACATCATTCCTTCAAGTCTTGTGTAGTACCTGTGTTCACTTCTCCCCCCAGTTACTTTGGACTTTCAAGCTTCTTCCTTTCCAAATTTCATCTTCCAGTGAATACTACCCATAAAGCTATTAGCCTGTGTTATTTTTTAATGTCCTTGCACAAACTTTAACACATGGTCCTACATATGGTCTTTCTTTTAGTACGTGGTCTTTCCGGGGGGTGGGGGGTGGAGATCGTGGTGGTTAGTTTGCCGAAACACATTGCGTCAACCTAAAAGAATAAATTTCCTGCTCTGGGATTTTTAACACTATAGCTTACTAATAAGGATATTCTCATATTCAAAAGAGCGAATTTTATCTTTATATATGCATGCAATGACTGTGCAAATGTCTCCACCTAGGCCAGTCCCAGTTGTGCCCTTTTTTCTAGTGAACACTGCTTCATTACACCTATGTATCCTCACTTTAAATAGCAAAGACACTTCATAGTTCTTTTCTCAACTCCTAGAAAAGCCAACTTAAAGTTTTAATAACTCCCATTGCAAGTAGATTGTTGTTATAATCCCCAATCTCCTGAATGTCACTGACGTCTAGTGGCGTTTATATTAAGGCAGAAGATAATATATATCCATAGACCAGGCTTTAGATGGTCACTAAAGATCATGGTCATTTCCACAGTCTCGTGAATCTTGAAGGACACGTTGTTTTTGATTCCCGCTACATAGCTGGTAGGTAAAGAGCTGAAAACGATTTTAATGACCTTAAGAAGGAGTTATGGTTTGTGGACCTCAGGTAGCATAACATAGACAAAGAAGATCTCCACTGATTTAGTAGTTATATAAAGGAAATAATAAAGGAGGGGTAGTAAAAAAAAAAACTATGTAGATAACTTGAAAATATAAAGAGAGATCTATTAAATGAAGATGAGAGCTACCCTTCTAGAGATGAAAAAGAAAAGACCTCACATTTTATTCACTTCTAATGAGTACATTATATGTTTAGGTAATATAACAATTCCTATTAATTAGTCAGCAAAATAGAAGAAATATTCAAATGTACGAAGCTGAGAATTCTCAATGCAATTTAATGTAACAAGGAACTGCTGTGGTTAAGGAAAAACAACAAGCTGGCTATTATTATTTTAAAATTTATTTCATTTTTTGTTGTTGAGAATGTACATAGCAGAACATACACTAATTCAACATTTCTACATGTACAATTCAGTGAAGCTGATTACATATTTGAAGTTGTAGAACTATTGCCCCTCTCCTTTTCTGAATTATTCCTTCCTTATTAATAGTCTAGCTATTTTTTAACAACATCCCTAAATTTGTGTATTTTTCTAGAGATTTCCTTGAATGTTACCCAGCAAATATGTTTGATGCTTTATATAGAACTTTTAATTTAGTCCTTACATATAAAGTGACCAGAGTTAAAGAGGTTACTGTGGTTCCAGCTAACAAGGTCAAACAGCATGTCAAGAGTACGTTAATCATTTGCCAATAGTTCAGGTTTAAGATTTCTAGAATATTGTTCTGTGACAAATTTTTAAAATAATATTTACAAATATTAGCAAGACAATTTGAATAGTGCAAATGAAATGAGGATGGACCTAGATTTTTCTCCAGATGGGAAATCAGGAAGTCATTGAAATAGAAAATGTTGCTGAGGGTAACACAATACTTAGGTTTCAAGTTTTCAATCAGAGAACATGTTAAGGATGTAAAAGTAACATAATTTACAATTTCGAGCATATAATTAATTTTAGTACATTTCCCTCTGTACAGCAACAATTAAAAATGTGAAGAAATGAAGCAAAGGTGTTTTTTTTTTGGTTGTTGTTCCCTTTCATTATTTTTCCACTTATAGCTGGATTCTGAAATTTACTCCAACAGAACAATCTCTATTATTTTTCAATTTGAGAAGCAGTATGTGAAAACAATGAAAAATTTGTGATAATTATCCAAAAAGGAAGCTAAAATTGGTTTAAAGTATTTATTTTACTTTTTAATATAAATCAGCCAAAATTGATCATTTTCTAGCCTGGAAACCATTTTTAACTGTAAACTGCCAGCTTACCTGGAGGTTTAATCAACGATTCAGTTAATTCAGTGAAAAGAGAACATATTGCATGAAATTCATCCTTTGACTGAATTGATTCGTTGGTACTGTCAGAATGGTTAAATCTGTATGTTGACACACAATCTAAAGAAATTTTCAGTAGTCAAAAGTCTGAGGTTTTCATAGAGTAGAGTTTTTATTTCTTTATTACTTATTTTTTTAACTGCCTTTTGAGGAATCATTGAGGATAAATTAATGGAAATAAAATGGAGGAAAGGAAAATCAAATAGTTCATTTATTATCTTTCCATTTCTCTGTTCTCTGAATTTATGGCAATATGATTTAATTTCTTTTCTTTGCTGTTAACATCAGGTATAATTGAAAAGTTAGTGCACCAATACTTAACAGTGATTTTATTTACAAATGCATCAATTCTTCTCCAGTCTTCCTTATTGTTTGTCCAGCTTTCACATGCATATGATGCTATGAAAACACTATGGCCCAACTCATAGCGATGCCTCCTTGGGTTTCTGAGGCAGTATCTCCAGGGAAGTAGATTCCCTAGTCTTCCTTTCAAGGAGTTGCTGGTGGGTTTGAACTGCCAGCCTTCCAGTTAGCAGTCAAATGCCTTATGTACCATGCCACAAAGTCTGTCTAAATCCCTGAACTGAAATGAATATAAAATTATACTTAGAATGCCTTTGGAATCATTAAGCTAAAGTTACAAATATATAAAAATCTGATAAGAATTATTTTACTCATTCAATTTCCAGTAATAGAGATAGTTGAATAACTTGGCTAATTTCCCTGTAGTCAAATATTTAAATTCTATTAGATGGCTGGAAAAGTGAACTTCATCTAGTTGCAAGATTAACTCTCATTTACCAGTACTAATTTTAATTTTGTTTGTTTCACACTTTTGGCTATTTGGAAAAGACACTGAGATTTGTAGGAGATAAAGTTTGTATAGCTTGGGATGTGCTGTAAAGCAAAAACCTGATTTTGAAAAATGAGTCTAAGTCCTTAGAGTATTTGAGTATTTTTCCTGCTCATATATATATATATATATATATATATATATACATATAAACCAAACTCACTGCCTTCCAGTTGTTTTCCTGACTCATAGCTACACCTCCTTGGGTTTCCAAGGCAGTATCTCTATGGAAGTAGATTGCCCAATCTTCCTTCCAAGGAGTGGCTGGTGGGATATATATATATGTGTGTGTGTGTGTGTGTGTGTACACACACACATATATACATATACATACATATATATATATATATATATATATATACACACACATATTTGAAAGGGAACAGTGGGAAGAGAATCAAAGAAGGGATAACCTCTTTTTAAATAAATATTTCTATGAAATCATAAAATAACATAAATTGAGAATAACTTTCATTTTACAGATATGCTTTTTGGGCCTCAATAGCTTTATCAAGTTAAGAAGCTAAAAATAAAATATTTTATCACCTTTAGATTATACGAAGTAGGTCTTCTAAAATCATTGTTGTTCTAAAATCATTAATTGGTAAATCTGGTATTCAATAACTTGCATGTAATTTGTATGTGCAACAGAGACCTTTGTGATTCCAACTTTCTTTTCATTTTTATTTTACCTTATTAATCAGAGCACAAAAATTTAATGCAATCTTCTTCTATAAATATTGATTATGTAACTCTTTAGTCAGTATTTAGAAGCAGAATATTACTGTGTGGTTTTATAATGCTGTAGTCGAAGATGTACTAATGTTGCAGCTCAAAACCATGAGGTTGCCCTCTTGAGGAGATATGTGGTAGCAACTGTTAAGTGGATCCAAAAAATAAAATTTCCACTGAAAGCATTATTAGTTAGATTACAGGTAGAGTATTCTAGGGAATGAAGTGACACGATTTTTCCTCCAAGTTGCAATATTATATTTTTCCAGCTCTGTCATTTTGTTCCTTTTAAGATTATAGAGCAGAGTCTGCAATTCAATGGAGGGCTTCAATCATTCCAGAGTATCTGAATTTGTGTTACTTGGACTTACTGATTCCTCTGAGCTCCAGATTTTCCTCTTTGTGATGTTTTCCATTTTCTATTTAATAACCATGTTGGGAAACTGCCTGATTTTGCTCACAGTCATATCCACCCCACACCTCCACTCTCCCATGTACTTCTTGCTGAGTAACTTATCTCTCATTGACATGTGCCTGTCTTCCTTTGCCACTCCAAAGATGATCATGGACTTCTTTGCTCAGCGCAAGGCTATCTCCTTTGAGGGCTGCATTTCACAGATCTTCTTTTTGCACCTCTTTACTGGAACTGAGATCGTGCTGCTTATCTCCATGTCTTTTGACAGGTACATTGCCATATGCAAGCCTCTTCATTATTCAACAATTATGAGCCAAAGAGTGTGTGTGGGGCTTGTGGTGACTTCTTGGATGGTGGGATTCCTTCATACAACAAGCCAGTTAGCTTTTGCCCTCTACTTGCCATTCTGTGGCCCCAATGTTGTAGACAGTTTCTTCTGTGACCTTCCTTCAATCATCCAGCTGGCTTGTATAGATATTTATGTTCTTGGGATCTTCATGATTTCAACTAGTGGTGTGATTGCTCTTGTAAGTTTTCTGCTTTTGCTCATCTCCTACATAATTATTCTTTTCACAATTAAGAACCACTCCTCCAAAGGATCATCCAAGGCTCTTTCTACCTGCACAGCACACTTCATAGTTGTATTCATGTTCTTTGGGCCCTGCATCTTCATCTATGTGTGGCCTTTCACAAATTTCCTCATTGACAAAGTTCTCTCTGTTTTCTATACCATTTTTACCCCCTTTCTGAATCCACTTATCTATACTTTGAGAAACCAGGAAGTGAAGACAGCTATGAAGAAGAAACTAAGTAACCAATATTTCAGTGTTGGGACAACTACACAACATTATCCAGTGCAATGAAATACATCTCCTATCAGAGTTTTATTCTTAAAGGAATATTAAATTAAACTTAAAATGTCTTTGGGGTCATTTAATGTAAATCCATGAAATAAAGAAGCAAGGGTTGATAGATTTGAAACATCTGTTCTAAAAGTTAGAGCAGTGTTTGCAAGCCTTACATGATCCATTTTGAAAATCTATAGGTTATTTTCATACAAATTTACATACAATCAACATTGTGAACATAAATTTAGAGATTCTTAGGCTCCTGAATTGTATAAACATAGCTCATATTAAGATTAGTTGGAGAAGTCTGAGATAAAATATTGTTATTTTGTCTTGTAATCGAGAACATTCCCACTTTGAGATACAGCTTTGTGGTATTCTGATGGTGTCTCCATGTAGACTTTCTATTAAGTGTGTTATAACAGATTTCTTCATAGCATTGAAAATATTTTTATAAGCATATTAATATTGTGAAAAGATTCTTTTGAACAGTTTGTAACACCCTTGATTCAATGGATCCAATTGTTTGAGTTCTGTGTGAATGTTGAATACCAGAGAGCAGTTTGAAAGATTTAAAATTTAACAGTGTTGAACTGAACAACACTGTTTCATTCTTTCTTTCCTTTTCTAAATTGTGATTTGGGTTTTTACAGAACAAATTGGTTTTCTATTCAACAATCCATACTGTTTTGGACATTTACTACACTCCACACTGTAACAACATTTGCCCAACTTCCTCCCTGCGCCCATTCCTTCCCATCGCCCTTGCCCTTCCTTCCCATCCTTTCCTTTCTTCATAGCTCTATACCTGAGGAAATGCTATCCCCTTGATCTCACATGCTTGATTGCTCTAATAAGTGCCTACAAGTAAGCCTGATCTTTTTTATGATTTTGAGTTTCATCCCACGTTTCCCCCCATTCTACCCAAGACTTCTTATTGTGATCCCCTTCTAGCTCTGGTCTCAGGGTTGTGGATTCTGGGGTTCACGAGGAACACAGTTCCTTAATAGGTGTGGATTACTTTCATATTTGGTAAGTGCTATAGTAGATAATTTATTATGTTTAAACCACAGAAAGTGAACTGCTCAAATCTGATTGCTTTCATAACCTAGCTGAAAAATCATAGATTTGATGAATTCATTTAATAATAAGACTAAATGTTTGGCAAAATTATTAATTATTAAACTAATGACAAATCTTTCATTTCAAAAATAAAATATTCCCTGATAGCATAGTGCCTAAGGCACTTGACTGCTAACCAGAAGGCTAGCAGTTCAAACCCACCAGCCACTCCTCGGAAGGAAGGTTGGGCAATCCTACTTCCGTAGTGGTACTGCCTCGGAAACCCAAGGAGGGGTCGCTATGAGTCGGGGCCCACTCAAGTGCACATAACAACAACAACAAATTATTAGTATAAGTTGTGTGTCTCATTTTGAAAATACTGTGGCCTGTAGAAAAGAAGGATGAAAAGAATTTCAGAAATGTATAGCACAATTCTCCCTAATTTATTTTATTATTGATCAAAATAAATATACTTTTGCATATAATGGAGGTGGTGGTAGAGAATCATCTTCTTAAAATCTAGACACACAAGGTAAACTTGAATTTCCAGGTACTCATATATATACATATATAATCAATGTCTACCAAACACCCAGAGGCTGCTTGAGTTACTAGACAAGAACATCTCCTCTTGCTCAACCCCTCAACAACAACAACAACAACAACAACAAAATATCTGGTCATTTCAGGAACATAAAAACCAATTTAGCAATGAAGAAATGGAAAAGATTATATGTATGTATGTATATTTTTATTCTCTGTGCTAAGGATAGCAAAAACCAGGATGTTTTCAGCTCTTCTTTTATTTTATAAAGTTTGGGCCCAAAAGGAAAAAAAAAGAAAATCTGAATGAAGAGTGAAGATTATTCTTTCTCCTATCTAGTTTAACACTTCTTCTAACTTCAACTAACATTTAAAAACATAGTGTCTAGAATGCAGCCTGATATCAAATTTTTCAGTTTTGTCAAGAAGTCAGTAACTTCTCTTAAAAAATAAGAAAACACTCAGAAATTCATTTGATAAGAAAACAAAATGCCACATTAAGAATTTAGATTTTAATGTGATTCAGTGATACAGGCACAAATTCACATAATTCTATGCTTCTTCAGCTGTGGCTAAGTGAATCTTTATGGTAAAACTTTGATCTAGTACATGTCTTACAAAAATTCTTTGAGGAATTTTTTAAACAACTCTGAATAATCTGTTTTTTGAGGGGGGCATCATGTAGCTTTTCATAATGAAGAATGACAGAACCATCTGTGGTGTTCAATGCTCATGCTCAGGAGTTGTGGGATGCACCTCAATCATCTCTTCTTTACAGATGTTTCAAAGTTTTTTATGATGTGCATTCTGCTAAAGAGAATTACCATAGTGAAAACAGAAAAGTTCAGTAGAATATGCTGTCATGAGATTTTAGAACAAATCTAATAGCTGAAAAACCTAAAGCCCCAAAATTTCATGGAGCTAGTTCAAGACTGAATCATTGTAAACCATTAAGAATATTGCTTTGGATACATACAGACCTGAGAATCAAATGTTGGCACTGTCATTTCCTAGTTGTGTCATCCTGGGACATTCACTTCACCTCTCCATGCCTTTCTCATCTCTAAATGAATAAAACAAAATAGATGAAAATAAGGTGACAAATTTATGCTAAGTGCAAAGCATGATTTAAAAGAATGTCATTTCCATTTCCTTTCTTATCCAAAGTACGTCTTAGTTTAAGTAATAAGTCTTTCAAGGATCATTGAATTCAGGGCAAATGAGTAGTATGTAGAATGAGATACTCTCACTTTAGGATGTCTCTAAGAATGCACTGGGAGCTCTGGTAGCATAGTGGCTAAGGCCCTTGACTGCTAACCAGAAGGCTGGCAGTTCAAACCCACTAGCCACTCCTCAGAAGGAAGATGGGGCAATCTACTTCTATAGTGATACTGCCTCAAAACCCAAGAAATGGTCACTATGAGTCGATGGCACATAACAACAACAACAGCAAGAGTGCACTGGTTATGACACATGGCAGCAAAACAAATAGAACACTTTGCAGTTTTCCATTGTTAATATGATGGGTTGCAAAATTAGACAGATTGCCTGTTACATTGAGGTTCATATCAATAGCAAAATAATGATGGACAGTGTCTGACAGCAATCTTTTATCATGGATTCAGACAGCTGGAAAATGCCACAAGAAAAACCAACTCCCTTCTTTGCCAAGAAAGAAATGATATTAATAGTATCTGATATTTATCTTGGATTTTTAAGGTCTTAAGCTGTTTAAAAGCAAACAACATCAAAGACAAATATTTAAAATCTCAATTTAAGTAATGTGCAAAAGTTTATGAAGAAATGTAAGGTTGGAAGTAGGTATAACACCACAAATTCAATTAAAAAATACTAGTTTATTTTCAACCAAATCAAAACTTTTCTTTCTTACCTCAAAGTCTGCCAGACAGAGAAACAAGGTTAAGGTGGAAGTTACTGTTTTTATCCATTACCATTTTTTTTTGTTAAATTTTTTCTTTTTTTTAAAAAATATAAAACTCTGCTTCTTAAATGTCAATCTTTAGCTCAGTATTTATTTGTTGAGCTCTTACTTTGTTTCAGGCTCTTGCTGGGTGATGAAGATATGTTAAAAAAAAAAAA